TGGGCTTAAGTGATTTTCTTGCCTCAGCCCCCCAAGTAGCTGGGACTACAGGCGCCCGCCACAACACCCGGCTATTTTGTTTGTTTGTTTCTGTTGCAGTTGTCATTGTTATTTAGCAGGCCTGGGCCACGTTCAAACCCACCAGCCTTGGGTATGTGGCTGGTGCTCTAACTCCTGAGCTACGGCACCAAGCCTGTTTTAGCATTTTTAGTAGTAAGCTATCCAATTTTAAGCTACCATTTCTAGTAGTAAGCTACCCAAAAGTTCCAGCAACTTTGTACATAACTAAACAAAACAAATATTGCAGCTATGTTATAAAGTAAAAAACTTAACACTTATATTTTAATCTTACCTAAGCAGTAACTCTCTGAGTTTCACAAAAACTGCCTTACTTTGAAAATGTAGAAAAATCAATGCTTGAGTTATCTTCAATAACTCTTTTGGTTTATAGCCATCCAAATGTTTATGCAGAACTGAAGCAATTCTAAAAAGAATGACAAAACATGTATTACGATCAGTTTATTCATTCATTTATTAAACATTTACTATCTTGCTTTCATGTCAGACATTCTGCTCTACACTAAAGAGAACAGTAATGAATGAAACAAGATTTTTTTTTTTTTTTGAGAGAGAGTCTCCCTTTGTTACCCTCAGTAGACTGCCGTAGAATCATCAGAGCTCACATCAACCTCAAACTCCCAGGGTCAAGCGATCCTCTCGCCTCAGCCTCCCAAGTAGCTGGGACTATAGGAGCTGGCCACAACATCCAGGTATTTTTTAGAGACGGAGTCTTGCTCTTGTTCAGGTTGGTCCTGAACTCATGAGCTCAAGCAATTCACCCACGTTGGCGTCTTAAGAGTGCTGGAATTATAGGTGTGAGCCACTGCACCCAGCCTAAGATTTTCTATTTTTGAAGAAATCTCACAAGAAGGTGTTAGAAATGTAAATAATACAGAATGAAATAAGAGCAATCAGTGAAGTGTGATTGAAATAATATTCAGTTATCAATAGTAAGAGAGTATAGTTTTACTTCCTCAATCAATAAAACAAAAATCCTCTCTGAATAGCCATCAAATTTTACATCCTTCTCATAACAAAATCTTTACCAAGAATTACTAACAATTAGCAAAAGTGATTTAATTTTCTTCCTTAAATCCACTGGTTCTCAAATGGAGCTAATGAAAAGCAATAGGAAATGCTAAGAGGCAGTAAGTTGGTGGAAAGAGGGCATAAGAAATACTAAAAGGGCAGTGCCTGTGGTTCCATGGGTAGGGTGCCAGCCCCATATACCAAGGGCAGCAGGTTTGAACCCGGCCCTAGCCACACTGCAACAAAAAATAGCCGGCGTTGTGGCAGGCACCTGCAGTCCCAGCTACTCGGGAGGCTGAGGCAAGGGAATCGCCTAAGCCCAGGAGTTGGAGGTTGCTATGAGCACTGATGCTGCAGCACTCTACCGAGGGTGATAAAATGAGACCATCTCTAAAAAAAAAAGAAAGAAATATTAAAGGAAGATACAATAGATAGTGGAAAATTAAACACATACAATTAAGCATATATATGAAAATATAATCATATATGTCTTAAGGCTCAAGTTATCAAAAAAGTAAATATATGGCAGTAAGATTTCAAAGTAACATGTGGTGTCTGACAATTTAAGCTCCTACAGATGTTAGCTGTTCTGCAGAAACTTTCCTTTTGAAACGTAGGATCCCTTCTTTAAGGACTCCACTTACTAGACTACAATGCTCTGCTTCAGTATAAAAATAATACCAAATGAAATGGAAGATGCTATAAAAAATTCTGTCATCTCTATTTTGGAAAACAAACTAGAATATAAACAATGCCTTTAAGTGTTCTTTATTTCTTCAAAATGGTAGCAATATTAATTTTTTTTTTTTTTAAATCTTCCTCAGATGGCTCGGCAGCCATAGCTTAGTGAGTAGGGCGCCAGCCACATACACCCAGGCTGGAGGGTTCCAGCCAGCCTGGGCCTGCTAGACAACAATGACAACTGCAACCAGGGAGTGGCCAGGCACTGTGGCGGGCACCTGTAGTTCCCGCTACTCGGGAGGCTAAGGCAACAGAATCACTTAAGCCCAGGAGTTTGAGGTTGCTGTGACCTGTGACGTCACAGCACTCTACTGAGGATGACACAGTGAGACTCTGTCTTAAGAAAAAAAAAAAAACTTCCTCAGAAAATAGTTATTTGTGAATGACAACTAAACTCAAGACCACAAATGTCAGAAAAAACTACTTTTTAATCAGATGTGAATTTCTGCTTTCCATCTCTTTCATTGCTTCCAACACTGCCAGGGCTTGCTGGCTGGTCAGCTCCTCTGACATCAGTAACATAGTTGATTGCAGTCTAGAAGCAAAGAAAAATATTTTTTATGTTGAAAATTAGCTTACACATTTTTTTCAAAAAATAACAGTTCTTTTGTAAAAAAAAAAAAAAAAAAAAGAAGAAGAAGAAGAGAAGAGAAATAATATAAACAAAAATTGAATCCAATATATAATTCCAATTTTCTTCCCACATACTTGGGGATAATATATTACTGAATCAAACAAAAATATATTTTCTTCAAAGTAATTGAGGCCTCAGTATAATCTGATCTTAAACTGTTAGAAAAATACAGATAGAAAATCTTTTAGTGGTTTTCAAATAAGATTATAATGATTATAAAATATTTCAGTGAAATTAGGGAGCTAAAGAACTAAGGAACTAACAATTGATATTCTAACAATCACAATGTATTAAAATTAAGAAAGTCAATAAACCTGTATATTATCATAAATCTTACAAAATAAGCAGTTGCTATAACACTATAAAATTAATATTAATAAAGATGTTCCATTTTCAAGCTATCCAACATGGTATAGTAATAAAGTTATGAAGACAAAAGTACGTCTTTTAGAGTAATTTAAAGGCAAGCCTAAAACATGAAATCTGAAGATAGCAGGATAAACTAATTGTCTATTCATACTGGATAACTCCATGCCATCCTTTTCATCAACCTTTTCAAATATTTCAAATTCAGCTTCTCCCCAGATTTTCTCCAACCACTTTAGGCTACATTTTTCTCTTCTTTCTTCTGCCCACAGCATTTACTAACTATGTCACAAATTTTACTGCTTATTCATAAACTATGCTGTGATGTTATGGTATTTACATATTTCAATTATATATTTCTATCCTCTTAATTAGAATATAAATTATTTGAAGGCAGAGATTCAGTTAAACGCAACTTTTGTACTACTGTAGATATGAGATTTTAACAGTACTTAGTGACAAAAACAAGAATCCAATAAAGATTTTTTAAATGATCATCATATTTCCATCTTGATATAATCCTAAAATATACTCTTTAAATTTTTTCATATAATTCAAAGTACTCTTTGAAAATAAAACTTTCTCCACAAAGCTTTCCCCAACAGAGTAATGATACAAAGATTCTTCTATTATGAGCCGCACCTGTGGTTTAGTGGGTAGGGTGCTGGCCCCATATACCAAGGGTAGTGGGTTCAAACCTGGCCCCAGCCAAACTGCAACAAAAAAATAGCTGGGCGTTGTGGGGGGCGCCTGTAGTCCCAGCTACTCAGGAGGCTGAGGTAACAGAATTGCCTAAGCCCAGGAGTTGGAGGTTGCTGTGAGCTGTGATGCCACTGCTGCTTTACTGAATCTACTAATCATATTTATTTTTTAGGACTACTATAATTCTAAATATTTCATATACTTATGCTAGATGGGAGAAGCTTATATCCATGTGTAAATCTAGTTACATAGCCTAAAAGGGAGAATCTTGTCTACTAACCATACTTACGCATTAATTTAATATTTAATCATCTTCATAACCCAAATGTTTCTATCTACATCACTATCAGGCAAAATTGAAATTCTTAAAAGAGGGAGCCAGATAAAATTCACTCAAATCTCACATGGTAACATAGACCAAGTGTATAATAAATGCTTAAATGCTTTGATGATGATTGTGACGAAGACATCAAAACATAAAATGGTCCATTGTTATGCCAACTATAATTTTAAATACTGCATACACTTTGCGGGGGGAGCATGTCTTATGCCTGTGTATAAACGTAGTCACGTGGCATAGGAAGGGAGAATAAAAACACTTACGCGGTGTTCTCCCTCATCTTGTTCTGTGCTGGTCCAACACCAGAGATTATTGGACACCTTCAGAACATAGCAGTAGACTAAGAATTTGAAATATAAATTAGAATAATAAAAGGAAGAATCAAGGAACAGCATATAAGAGATTATTATTTTCCCTTTCATAGTCTAATGGGGTGATTTTTGTGCCCTCCAGAGCTGAAAGAAGAGCTAAGCTTTAAGCCTCCATATATCCCCAACAACAAAAAAGTAAAGCATTTTAAACTGAACTTACTGTTTCTTTTCTTCAGGGCTTGCCATGGGTCCCAATGCTACAAACAATTTCACAAAACTATCAGGGTGATCAAACAGAGGAATCATTTCAGTGAGCCTCTTTTTAGCCATTGTAATAAACTCAAAACTATGAAACTGTAGAGACTGGTACAGACTAAGTATTGTGCTGATGGAATCCAAATCAAGGTGGTTCATATTACTTAAAAATACTTTATTACAACTTTCTAACAGTTGGGGATGATTATATTTAACATTTTGAAGAAACTGTACTATTCTTCTTGCGATGTCAACCTCAGAAGAATCTATAGTGTCAAAAAGAAGTTCGGTTTTATTCACTAATTGTTCTTGAAAATGTTGTGATATTAAAGAAGACATGTTGACCATCAAGATAGACAAGGACCTGAAAAAGAAAAATGATGTACACATTTTTATATCACCTAAGGATAATGACGAACTGGAAAACTAAATTATTAGATACATAAAGAAAGTGGTCAGGGCGGTGCCTATGGCTCAGTGGGTAGGGCCCCAGCCCCATATACCAAGGGTGGCAGGTATGAACCAGCCTTGGCCAAAATGCAACAAAAAAATAGCTGGGCATTGTGGCAGATGCCTGTAGTCCCAGCTACTTGGGAAGCTGAGGCAAGAGAATTGCCTAAGTCCAAGAGCTAGAGATTGCTGTGAGCTATGATGCCAGAGCACTCTACTGAGAGTGACAAAGTGAAACTCTGTCTCTAAAAAAATATAATGGCTCAGTGCCTGTGGCTCAAGCAGCTAATGCGCCAGCCACATACACCTGAGCTGGCAGGTTCAAATCCAGCCTGGGCCTGCCAAACAACAATGACGGCTGCAACCAAAAAATAGCCAGGGGTTGTGGCAGGCGCCTAGTGTCCCAGCTACTTGGGAAGTGGAGGCAAGAGAATCACTTGAGCCCAGGAATTAGAGGTTGCTGTGAGCTGTGATGCCAAACCACTCTACCCAGGGCAACAGCTTGAGGCTTTGTCTCAAAAAAATAATAATACAATAATAAAGAAAGAAAGAAAGAAAATGGTCAAAATATTTAGTTTTATAACATAAAATTTTCCTTTTAAGTACTACTGGGACTTGAACTCTGATCCTAATAATTATTCCTTTCAGACAAAAAGTATTGAAATATTTTGCCTTGAATGTATAAAATACCTTTTCTGTAGATAAAACAACATTTATAGAGGATATTGTAGTGAAATTTACTCAGAAATCACTTTGGACCAACAACCCATAATGAATATGACATTAAAGTCTAATTTTGAGTTTTAGAAATAGACTTTATTACTCCTTTCTCTGTATATATGTAATTTGCTACTAAAATCTAGTAAGATTTTTCTCACTATTGAACAATTATACATTTTTAAATATTTTATGCTAAATTGATATTAATATACAACAGTAAGACATACTGAACAATGAGAAGCATTAGTATTTCTTCATTTAATAAACACTTAAGGAGCATAAATCACTTTTCTAGGCATTATGGAAGACATCAAAATTACTAAGTTGCGTTGATACAACAAAAACTACAAATATAAGAATGTACCTATAATGAATAAAGTATGAAAAACAGAAAAGAAATAAAACAAATGCTTGGGGATGATAATTAGAAAACAATCTACAGAAATGACAAAAGTGGCAGGGTGCAGTGGCTCACCCCTGTAATCCTAGGATTCTGGGAGGCTAAGGTGGGTGGATTGCCTGAGCTAACAGGTTAGAGACCAGCCTGAGCCAGAGTAAGACTGTGTCTCTAAAAATAGCCAGGTGTTGTTGCAGGAGCCTGTAGTGCTAGCTGCTTGGGAGGCTAAGGCAAGAGAATCACTTGAGCCCAAGAGTTTGAGGTTGCTGTGAGCTATGATGCCACAGCACTCTACCAAGGGTGACAAAGTGACACTCTGTCTCAAAAAAAAAGAAAAGACAAAAGTACAAACCTAAAACCATCTTAACCACTAGAACAGTGAGAACACATTTTGTTCCAAATTTCTCCAATCTTTTTTTTTTAATTGTTTGGCATTCATTGAGGATACAAAGAATTAGGTTACACTGATTGCATTTGTTAGGTAAAGTCCCTCATATCATTGTGTCCCACCCCCAAGAGGTGTGCTATCCACTGTAATCCCCCAACCTCCTCCTTCTTGATTTCTCTAATCATTTCAATAAAACTTTTTTTTTTTTTAATGTATCACTCTGTCACCTAGGCTAGAGTACAGTGGCATCCTTGTAGCTCATAGAAACCTCAAACTCCTGGGGTCAAGCAATCCTCTTACCTCAGCCTCCTGAGTAGGCTAGTTTTTCTACTTTTAATAGAGACGGGGGTCTCACTCTTCCTCAAGCTAGTCTTGAACTCTTGAGCTCAAGCAATCCACCCTCCTCAGCCTCCACACCCAGCTAGGATTACCAGCATGAGCCACCACACCCAGCCACACAAGGGTTGTAATTTCTCTATATCCTCACCAACACACTACTTTCCTTTACTTTCACATCTCCTTTTTTTTTTGCAGTGTTTGGCTGGGGCTGAGTTTAAACCCACCACCTCCAGCATATGGGGCTGGTGCCCTACTCCTTTAAGCCACAGGTGCTGCCCTGTCACATCTTCAAACATGCAAGAACAAATAGCTTTGTTTTGTTTTTAAGTGTCAAAAACTAATCATAAGCAGTACATCCTCTGGAATTGGAAAACATAGGTTTAAATCTTGGCTCCCACATTGACTGTTGAGAGTCCTTAGGCAATTTACCTACACTCACAAAGCCTTAATTTCTCATGTACAAAATAAAAGTATAAATATTTTATCTCAGAAGGATGTTTAAAGACAAATATAAAAAAAAAGTTTATATTCAAATTCTTGCCCTTCCTTCAGCTCTAGATAAAATGCTTTCATTTTTATTTCAGAATCCTTACCCTGGCATTCACAGGTACCTCCCTGTACCCCAACTATTATCCCAGTCTTGAATCAACTCTCATTCTCAGCTCTTTCTATTCTTACTTCTTCTATTTTCTTTGAGACAGTGTCTCACTTTGTTGCCGTGAGTAGAGTGCCATGGTATCATAGCTCACAGTATCCTCAAACTCTTGGGCTCGGCTCAGCGCCTGTGGCTCAAGTGGCTAAGGCGCCAGCCATGTACACCCAAAGTGGCGGGTTCGAATACAGCCTGGGCCCGTCAGAGAACAGAGAACTATTTTTTGGCTGCAACCAAAAAATAGCCGGGCGTTGTGGTGGGCGCCTGTAGTTCCAGCTACTTGGGAGGCTGAGGCAGGAGACTCGCTTGAGCCCAGGAGTGGGAGGTTGCTGTGAGCTGAGATGCCATGGCACTCTACCC